TATATTAGTAGAGTAGATGAAACGGGACAAACGGGACGGATCAGTTTAAGTTTTAGTTGTCCCGCTCATGTCTCATTTGATATTGGGACTGAACGGGTTCGGGATAAAAAATGTGTCCCAATATATTGGTACAATTACAAAACGGATTCGATATTTTTCGGAACGTTCCAACGGGAACAGATTTCATGCTCACCCCTAATTAAAGGGGGAGGGACCCCTCAAACGGCTACTTAGCTGTTGAGGGGAAGGGGAAGGCCGAAGGGGAGGGGAAGAGGATTGGGGGATGGTGATTTCTATTCCTATAAATATATTCATTTAAAAAAAATCACTCTCCTCTCTAAATTCTCAACTCTCTATCTCTCAAATCTCAAATATTCTCAATCTCTCATTTTTCAATCTATTCCTCATTTCATCTCTAATTATCTATTAATTCTTATTATCTCTTTTTCAATCTTTATACAATTTATATTCATATAATAATATAAATATATATTGATATATTATTATTTACTAACATATTACATTATTAATTTTTATAAATTAATATTATAATTTCAAAATTTAATATATAATTAATATTTTAAATATTTAATATAGTCCTTTTTTTTATCAAAAAAATATATTAAAATGTCGAGAGAGTCCGGTAGAAGGTCCGTGGATATGGGCGCCGTGAACCGAAGTTTGAAGAAAGGCAAAACTAAAGCCACCTCCGACGGTTCGACTTCAGGCGGTTCTTGAGGAAGACACTCAGTCTCTTCCTTTCCTACTATCCCCGATCAATTCATCGGCGACGCTTTGACGGATCAAGAATTCGACCAGTACATTTCTGGTAGAGGCGACACGAATCTTCCCACTCTTGATAGTTTATTCGAGGATATTGATGAAGCAGGACTGGACAATCTGGACGGGGACGAGGAGCCTACACCGCACAGCAACGACGTCAACGAGGAGGCAGGTGAGCCCGAGACCTCTCAAGGTCCGAGCAAAGGTAAAAAAATTAAAATCAGATTTATTTGTTTATCATTTTGAAAAAGAAACAAAAGATGACATAGTTTATTGAACTTCTAAGTATTGTGGGGATGTCATTAAAATTGGAGTTTCCGGCGGTTATGGCAGTCCGGAAAAACACCTAAGGTCGAGGCATCCCGTGGAGTACGCCAAATACGCGGCGAAAAAGAAGGGACGACAAGAAGTGCAAACCCAAATTTCTCGGTTTGCTAACAAGGGTAAGAGCGGCCTTTTTGCTTATAGCGACAAGCAAAATAAGCAAAAAATGGTCGAAATGATTTGTGAAGAAAATTTGCCACTCATATTTTCTGAAAAACTTGGATTTATTGATTATTGTCAACAGGCATTAAACTCTCAAGCCAGAGGTTTTTCAAAAAAACAATTAAACGAGAAATTATTCGCCAGTATGAACTTGAAAAAATAAATTTGGCAAATTTTTTTCTCAATTTTAATTCTCGTGTTGCTATTTGTTCTGATATTTGGGGTGAAACATATCATAATTTGTCTTATATGGGTGTTACTTGTCATTGGATAGATAGTGATTGGATTATGCATAAACGTGTTCTTGCATTTCGTGATTTCAATGATTCTCATACTGCTGAAAATATTTTTCTATTGATTCAGAGTATTCTACGGGAATACAACTTAGTTGATAAAGTTTTTGCATTTGCTTTTGATAATGCTACTAATAATACTACTGTTATTCCTAGACTTAGAGAAATTTGTCTCCCTACTATTTGTGATCCACGCTTTAAGATTGAAAATTTTAAAATTCTAATTGACTATTACTACACTTGTTTTTTAGATGAAAATAGTTATTACTACATCCATTTAATAGAATGGAAAAATGAAAGAGATAATGCTATAACTCTTTTTGAGAATTTGTTTAAGGAATATCAAGGGTTATGCGGTACCGTGCCAGAAGAAACAACACCTCCTCCGTCTCCCAAATCAAAAAAAAGATTTTAAAGGAATAGTCGGTGGGCTTCTTGCAAAGAAAGGGAAGTCTGCTCAGCCTTCGACGAGTTCAAGTGGTACAACAGTAAGCTCGCACAACGAACTTGCTATGTACCAAGGGGTGCCATGCGATTATGACGACGACATAGAGTTTGACGTCCTCAGATGGTGGAAGCGGAACGAACACATGTTCCTATGTCTTGGAAAGCTAGCAAGACAAGTGTTGTCCGTCCTGGTATCAACCGGAGCTGTGGAACGAGAATTCAGTACTGACGGCAACATTCTAACCGACTTTCGAAGTTGTCTTAACACTGAATCTCTTGAAACACTTGTTTGCAACCAAGATTGGCTCTTGGCAAGACGTCGAGCTCAAGAGTCAGGGTACGAATTCAATTCGGAGCATTACATGAATGCAACCACAGATGGAAGTCTGAGTTCTGAGGAATAAGTTATAAACTTTTTTTATGTTAATGTAAATATGTAATTAGTTTTTTAGGTGAGCGATATATAAGCTCCTTCGAGGGTTTTCTTTACGGTTCTTTATCTCGTCGCTTTTTTTGAACAGTCAGGATATTAAATGTAGTTGTTCTTCAGTTCGTGTATTACCCATTTTACAATATTTAAATAACAACTACATTTTTAGATTTTTTATTTCATTCTTTGCTTTAACAATTGCAAATTTATAATTTTACATTTTAAAAATTTTTAAAAAAAGCAAAAAAAAATTAGGATGGCCGAAACCGGCCGGTCCGGTACCGGTACCGCCCGATCCGGTCACGGTACCTGTACCAAGGGGTGGCAGTACCGGAACCGGAACCGGCCCGGAACTGTTATGTGTCGGAAGAGTATTAAAATGATGAATTTTTTTTGAGCAATGCTAGGAGTACACTAAAGTTGTACCCCATTTGTCCCCCACCACTCTCTCTACCACTCAATTTTATTTTATTTTTATTTATATAATTTTTTTTAATCTCTTGTCTTTTTTAGTGGTTATAGAGGGAGTGGGGGACAAATGAGGTACACCATTTGGTGTACCCCTACCATTTTTCAATTTTTTTAGTTAAAGAGAAAGGAAAAGCAAGTGGTGGAGTTGACAAAGGGGATGAAAAGGGCGAAATACACAGTATGACGCACTAAACCCAACCAGATAATACGGAAAACGGTACTGAAAACACCATAATACACATTAGTGGGTGGGCCATTAGGTCACACCATTTTCACTCTCTCTTCTTCTTTCTTACTTCTCGTCCCTAAATATTTGTCACATTTCTATTCCCGAGGTAAAATATCAAGTTTTTTCGATTTATATTATTTACATATTGGTTTAGAAATAAAAAAAATCACATATCAAAAAACTACATGAAAAATTCTCCGAAATAAGAGGTGTCGAAAATATTTTATTTTATCAAATAACCAATGAAAACGTAGAAATAAACAAAAGTCACCGCGACTGCTGAAAAAACAAGTGTGGCAATTATTTAGGGACGGAGGGAACATTTTTCTTAAATTTATTATACAATCAAGAGAAAAAAACATATGAATTGTGAATATTGATCTTACATTTTAAAACATGTCAAATCAAAACGAGAAAAAAATACTCCGTGCTCCAAATGAAATAAAAGGAAGTACCGAGTATTACATTTATGTATAAATATGTTCCTCACATGGGTATGAGTAGAAATAATTCGAATTTTTTATCGTCTCAATCCCAACCCCGCTTTATAGATATGGGTTAAAGTAGTTTAGGATATGACATTATCTTACTTTGGATTAAGTTGTTTGTACCCAAGATTTGTGTTTATTTTCATTTTGTGTCAGTGTAATGCTAGAGTGGTAGTTCACACAGACACAAAATATTAGTATAAATTTTTGTTAACATACCATTATTTTGTATCAGTGTAAATCATCAAAATGTTCAAAATGTTAGTGTATATCTTTAGTATAACTTTGGAGTACAACTTTTGGTATAAGTATAACATGTTGTCTTACTTTATATCTAGACATTTATGTATGTGTTCTAGACAAAATAAGAAATGTATTGTATTTTTCCCTATATATCGTCCTCCCGTTTTTTTATTACTCGTAAATGTCTAGTACAGATTTTGTGCAATTTGGTCAACAATGGGGAACGCACAAGTACACATTTATACCAAGTAATAAAAGCATATTCTTTCTAACTTTATATTCTAATTAATTAAATTTTAAAATTTAAATTCCAGATTTGAGATTTTAGTTTTAAATTATGCCAGACTCCACAATATATTTGTACTCTCGTTGTTAAAAAACAAGTTTAAAAAAATTAAAGAAAATTAAAATATATGTGAACAAGGTTTCTTTAAAAAAAAGTAATATTATTAGTCACTTATTCATTTTCATGAAAAGTTGGTATTATAATAAATAGAAAAGTAATGATTTTCTTTGGAGATCGAGGAGCATTATATTTAATTTTAGAACAATTCAAACGAATAATCAAAACTTGAACATTTACCACAATAATTCTTTCAACAAAACTACGATGAAACCTCTTAAAAACCAAATTTAATAATCCCACTCAAATTGTTTACAATATTTCGAATAACGTGCAAAATATCATCTCTTTTAAAATTATTTAATTTACAAATTAATAGAAAAATATAAAGTAAAAATTACATCATTCAAAAGTATATCAAAAATTCTATAAAACAAAATGTAACAAATTTTAGCTTCTTGCCTTTTTCTTCTTCCATTTGTTTTCAATTTCCACTTTTTTTTTCAATTTTATTTTTTTAATTTCAATAATTAATGTTAATTTTTTTTATTTTGTTAATTTTGAATTTGTTACTTTTATTTTAATTATTACTCTGAATTATTCATCTTTTTCTTCAAATAAAAATTTGTACTCAATAAATTTAAGTTTTGAATTAAAAAATGATGAATAATGTAAAAAATGAAAAAAATGAGTTTTTAGAGCGATATCATTATAAGACTATTAGACGGTAAGAAAAGTTAGTGAAATATAAATGTGAGAGGAGTTCGAACGGGACTGATTTAGATATCATTATAAATGCTCTTAATTTAAAACGTTATTCCCAAACAAGTCATATCAAAATTCTTTCATTAAAAAAAATAAAACAAGGAAAAATTAAAATTGGTATCTACATAAAGACTTCAAGCCTAGGCCATTAAACAGAGAAAAACCAAACAGGGGAAAGCTAAAAACAGAGCAATCCACCAACCAACCACCTGCCTTTCCCACTAATCTTTCCCCAAATCTTCAACGATCTTCATAATTTCCATCTAATAGAAAGGCACTGATTCGACTCCCCGGAGAGGTGGCTTATACGGCGGCGGCGGCGGCGGCTTCTGCACCTCCACCACAATCTTCTCCGGCAGCGGCAGCTGCCTCGGACAAGGCAAAGCTAGGAACTTCGGAACTTCATCTCCCGGCATTACCACCGGCAAAGTCTGGCTCCGGTTTTGTTTTAAATCCTGTAAATTTGAATAAAATTAAAAGAGAGAAAATAGAAGAAGAAAAAAACAGAGGAGACATTCTGATTGGTCCTTAATATATTACAGGTTGTGAATCTGAAGTGGGTTTGTGGGGCCCGTCGTCGGGGAAAGATCGGCGGCGGAGGGATCGAAGCTTGTCCCAGTGGTAGCAGCAGGAGAAGACGCCGCTCAAGGAGAAGATGACGATCAGGAGAAGGGCGGTGCCGAGAGGGAAGCCCAATGACGGCCGGGACGCGTCAGCCGCATGCGGCGGCGCAGAATACGAACTCTCCATTCTCACTGCTCCTTTTAACCCGATGCTTTCTTGATGCTCTTTCCCTCATCAGAGGGCTCGACCAGAATTATTTTTTTCTCTCTTGTTTTGATCTAAAAATGTTTTTTTTTTAAAAATAAAAAAACAGAGCTTGATGAACAAGAAAGTGAAGCTTTGAAATGAATTGGGGAGTGGGGGGAGAGGGAGAAGGCGTGTATTTATATATAACGAGGAAATGTTGTGTTGTACCACTTGTACCTTAAAAATGTTACGGGGTACATGAGTACTTTTTTTTTTAAGTACTAAATTAAAAGGACCATGCTACACTTACACCAAAAAATATACCTCATTTGTACACCACAGGTTTGCACAAACATTTTGATGGTTTACGCCGACACAAGTGTTGGTGCGTTAATAAAAATTCACACGGACACAAATATTGGTGCGTTTAACAAAAATTAGTTTTACACCAACACAAAGTGTTGGTGCAAAACTGTGGGGTACAAATTGGGATACAAATCTTGGGGTACACATAGCATAATCCAAATTAAAATTGTTATTCTTCTATAACATTCTTTTCATTTTTTTTCTGCTTGTTTGATTTTTTTTTAATTTCCTCTTTAATATGCTTTTTAAATTCAAATGGCAAGAATAATCTTCCATTTTAGCACTCATCCACTTTTTACCGAGTATCGTATCATTTTTTTGTATAAGAAAAGTATCTTTAAAAATTTAAAGTATGAACATTCTTGACATCTTGTCATTTTTTTCTTACTCTTAGAAAAAATATGCAAAGTCAACAAGAACATTTTCGAACGAGAGACAACGTTAATTTGGGACTTGGATTGAGCATACATAAAGTGGAAATGTTGAGTTGTGCACCACAACCGTTTACATTTACTTGCGTTGAGGATTTGGGTCCTCAATAACAAGAGCACCATAAGCTCAAGCTGACATATTTTCAAGTTTAAGGGCCAAAAATCTGATGAATTAATTGTTGGAAATTTTAAAGTAAATTGGACATTTTCGGACATAAATTCGGTAGGATATATAAAATTATTTTCCAAAATAATTATGAACGATTAATCTCGTAAGTAAGACGAACGTCTTGACATATGACACGTCATAAGCGGTGCTCGGGTGAATTAGAAATTATTTCTCAAAGTTGAATACTAAGGTAGAGTAAATGCCTTTGTCCCACACCGGTTTCTAAACCTTTCGTATTCTCATATTTAAGCTTAGGCATTGAACAAGAAGAGGACTTCTTGTGCGCCGCCGCCCGTCCGGCTCGGTGCGTCGGGGCGGGGCGCGCCCGCGTCTGTGGCGTGGCTAAATTTTTACGAGACGGATTTGAACACGCGTGCATGCATGGCCGACCGAAGTGTCCAAGAGAAATGCATGCATGGCCGACCGAAGAGTCGCCTGAGACTCCTTGGCATCTCCGTCCAGGCTGTCAAGTTAGCCAAGCCTCCTCCTATTTAAGGAGAGGTTGGTTGAGAGATGAAAGACACTTGAAAATCTATCTCTATCTCTGCGTTGTAAAAGTTCCGACAACTCCCCAACTCCGATCATCTTTTCCGGCGATAACTTTCCATCGTTCTCGTTCGCCGGTACTCTGTTCTACCGCTCTAGACTTAGCACGTTGCGGTTTTATCCTGGGAGGAGATTGCCCACGTTTTCCAGTGCGGGAGGCGGGCAATACTACCTTAAGGAAAGCTTCGGCGACTCCACTTTCCTAACCTTCACTTCGAGAAACTGCTCCGGCGAATCCTCGATTTCCGATCATCTTCTCCAAAGTCACGGCCTTGCTGTCTGTTCGTGTTCTCCCAGTCCGTTCGAGCTTCCGAAGACTCCAGTTATATTTTCTTTATTTCTCGTTGTAAAATCCGAACGGTTTATAAGTTCGGATTATTATTATTATTATTATTATTATTATTATTTATTCCCGCTGTAATATTCAACATTAATCAAGATGTACACCAAAATAGGACACCCTAGTTCACAGTGATACAACTTTTTATACGAATTGTGTTAGGATAAGGAAAGCTTTGAGCGTTCTTTAACTGCTGAGAAGAAGAGATGAGAGAATGGTTGAAAATTTGAAGTGTTTCTAAGCTCCCAAGAAAATAGAAGAGAGATTAGGATATCCTTTGCTTCCTTCTTCTTCTTCCTCCTCCTGCCCGATCCTAACTTGCCTTCCTCTTCTTCTTGCCGCGCTGGATCCCAACTTGCCTTCTTCTTCCTCCATATTTTTTCAATTTAATTTTTTTTTAAATTTTAAACCTTTTTTTATTTTTTATTTCTGTTGATTTTGAATCTATAACTTTTATTTTATTTATTATTATTTATGTATTTTTATCAATAAATCAATATTTGTACTAAATTTATATAAGTTTTGAATTAAAAATGATTAACATTGTAAAAAAACGGAGAGGCGGGTTTTTAATTATACTAATAATTTTTTTAATTAATTCAAGCCGAACCGGCCCGTGGGCTTGAACATAAGCCCGTCCCTAAAATATTCGAGCCGCCATTTATAAGGCCAAGCCCGACCCATACCCTAAAATGTCAAGCCCAAGCCCGCTATTTTATAGATTGGTTTTGCAGGCAGGCCGGATAACCGAGTCCGTGATCGGGTCTACACCCGGAGTACTTTTCAAATGAAAAGAATGAGCTCCCCTTAAAAAAGCTTTTTATTTCTTTTTTTAGTTAGCTTGATTTGTGTTTTTTCAAATTGTTTGTTTAGTTGAATTATACTTTCATATAGAATATTTGTTTAGTTTTGACTTTTTGCCGTTCAAATTGATAAAATATATATTAGATATAGATGCAAAAAATTTTTGATTAAACTTATTTTATAAAATATTTTCAAAATATATTTTATCTATTTAATAAAGGAATATATCATTTCGTTTTTATTTAATTATAAATCAAAAGTCAAATATTGTTTTATCTAATGTCTTTTCCAAGAATGAGTATTAAATCTCTAACGAAGTACTATATGTATCCGATTTCCTAACGCAAAATGATTTTTTTGAATAAATGGTAGTAATATTAATGCAAATACTCCGTATCATTTTGTTTTTAAGTTTTTTAATAAGCAAATGTCTTTTCCGACCGAATAGATTAATGCACAATATGGACTTTTCCTCTTTGATTCCATAAAGATAAAGACAGTTTTACCGGGACAATTATGTAATCTCCCAACACAAGAGTAGAGTAAATTAATAAATTAAATAAACAATCAATTCAATTTACGTATATAAGTCCTACAAATGGGATAAAAAGATGGATAATGAAAATGTTATTGGCACTCCTAATATTATACTTCCTCCGTCACATAAATATCGAGAGGTTTTGACTAAAATGGTAAAATAAAGAGAGATAATTTCGTGTTGAGTTTCCAAATATATCCTTGATGTGATGGGTAAAAGTAGGATGTGATGAGTAGATTATTAGAAAAAGGTATGATGTGATAGATAGGGTATGAAAAAGTAAGGGGTAAAAATGGTTTTTAATAGAAATGAGACGGACTTTAAGGGATACAAATTTTTCAAAACGGGACTGATTTTATGGGACGGAGGGAGGAAAACTCACTAATATTACTGTATGTCATCCCTATACACACTATGAGAGGTTGAATAATAAACCAGGCAAAATAGAGGTTAATGGAGAAATTGAAATAGTGGAAAAACGAAAATGTTAATGGCACGACAAATTTTAAGATTCATATCTTAAAAATACTAAGGGTCCGTTTGGTAACCGGAATTGATGAAATTGGAATTGAATTGAAAATTGAAATTCTATGAAGTTGATTTGGATAATGTAAATGAATTCTTCAATTCTAATTTATTTCTGGTACTACCATCCAACTCTAAATCCATATATTTATGTGTTACTAAACAGTAAAATTGAAATTATTGTCTTCATTTTAATTTCATAATATGAATTTCGTGTATCAAGCGAAGCCTAATTATACTATCCACATTTGTTTTGACACTTATTTTGGGTGTCATGATATAAAATCGGAATATTACGAATTTATTGTATACGCGCTGGATGAGATCCCATGCATCCTTTAGCCACCCTACAAATCTAATTATTATCAGCCGGTGGGCGTTGTGTAATTGGCAAAGACAAAGAGTGTCAAGAGGTAAGATCCGAGTTCGATTCCTGACAATTACGCTGGGAGGTAATTATGCTAAGCAGATGATCTCTGCAAGTATCAGGTGCAGGCTCTACTCCTTGCCACTAATCTGCGATCAAAGACCAATTTACCTCTTCTTAGTGACCATCCGGCCGGGTCTTAGGGGGCCTTCAGAGATGGGGCTCATCCTTTTTTATACAAATCTAATTATCTAATCCACCAAGCCCATCACTCTTCCTAGTATTTATCTCTAAAAATAATACTCTGGGTATTGTTTGATTGCGATGAAATGCTAGAGTTACGACGATAAGAGTTTCTTCTCTTCAATTTATTTATTTTGTTTATAATTAGGTATCGTTATTAGAATCAGATTAGCTTAGAGTAAATTTTTCTAAATATAATTATAATTAAATCAAATCAGACTAGATCAAATTTAATCATAACCGATCAAATAGGTTACAGAGATTGAATTTGTAAGATAGATTTAGGAGGTAGGAAGCTATCCCACGTTTAAGGCTGGAAGAAGGAAAAAATCTCCAAATGAATTGGTATCATATATTATGGCTCTAAGAGGGTGTTTGACAATGCATTGCTTTTAATAATTTAGTTTCTGCTTTGAATGAAAGTGATTTTTACTCTGTTTGACATGTCAGCTTCTATTTTTCATCGCCACTATTTTGTACACAAAATGTCGTTTCAGAGAAACAGGTACGAAATGCTTTTGCTTTCAACTTTTTTAGAAATCACTTTATCCAAAAGTTAATCAATCTCAAACACACCCTAATTAACCAACGAATGTCAATGGTTTCAAATACTCCCTATTTAAAAACAAAAAACGAATGTGAAAAGAAGAGACCAATATACGAGAAACCGAATAATAAATGTAGAGTGTCAATTAAGAATGCAAATACCGAACTTCCTTAAAATAAGAAGGCCATGGACGTGTAAAGCTCTTTCTGCGTGGAGGGTACGGTACGAAAACACGAGGTTCCCCCGTTTGTAATATATTTGGATGCTACTCGCTATTAAAATACGAAAATGCTAGGGTGCCACCACATGGGTGCTACC